AACCAGACACGCCACCACCTGCCACTGCTTGGGGAGCTGGGGAACTGGCCAAGCATACTGTCAGAGGGCACCCAAGGCCGTCACCAAGTCCACCAGCTCCAATTAAACTTGTCAGTGGGGCTTCCCTGGTAGCCTAGGGGTTAAGTCTCAGCCCTACTACCACTATGGCCTGAGTTCAATCCCAGGCCAGTAAACTGACCCACATGGCACAGGAGACCTCTCCTGTCTCCCTGTCTCACCCGCTGCTCCCCTCAGCAGTGTAGTTCAGTCAGTCCACCTGTTCTGCTCCCCACTCTGTCTCTGGTGAATCCTCTCACTCTCTACATCTCTGGCCTACACCCCAGTTCTTCTATGCAAAAATAAAATCTTTTAAAAAAAAAAACTTGCCAAGGGAAAGAGATGAATGCAGAGCAGAAATGAATGCAAACCGTGGCTGAAAATGTGACTCTACTCATAGAAGTTATGATGTATCAAGTCTGAACTGCCTGAGAATGTTTGATTAGTGTATATATTCACCCAAATCCAACACATCGGGATGTGGCACACTGATTCATCGAAAGGAAAAGCCTGAACAGTTGTTTTGATTTTTTCATTTGGGTAATAAATATAGAACTTACTTCTGCTCCAAGGCTCAGTTACTGGAGATTTATTTACCAAGGAATACCTTTGCTGGGAGAAGTCTGAATGAGATGATGGCAAAACTCTTTAAATGAGATGTCATGATTAATAAAATATGTGGAGAATGAAAAAAAACAATCACATCAATCTCTGAAATTGTTCTAGAATAATCTAGAATAATTAATTCCTCCCCACAAACCTAGTACTTCCCCAACAAGGGCCTGTGAAAGGACTTAACCTTAGCCTGGATTTACAGCAAGTGTAAGTGTACTTTGAAATGAGCGCCGGTGTCCTGCCTGCCCTAGGGATTTGGGCACGGTGGTATGAGTTGTTTTCTCCTTGCTTGGCAGCCCTCCTGGGCTCGCCCTGGTCCGACAGTCCAGCAGCAGACACTGACTGCTCTGAATGGCTCTTCCGGGTCTGCGGGAGGCTGGGGACAACACAGCCGGTGAGACCTGTCAACAGAAATAGGGCCCATAAAGCAGCTCTGCCAGCGTCAGTCTGGTTCCATCAACGCCGACGGAGGCTGAGGGCGCGTCAGTTGCCCCACCAGTGAAAAGGTTTTGGGAGACTGGAAGGAGCAGGTGCTCGCCCAGAGGACAGAGCCAGGATCCCTGCCACAGCGGGACAAACACCTGCACTGGCCCCAGCTGAGGCAGAGCTTCCAGCTCCAGGCGCTGGCGGGCGCGCGGCAGGAGAGGAGGGCCCGCCGCTTTCTCCAGTAACCAGATCCTCAGGAATGCGCCGGGGCCAGACGCGCCCCCATCTCCAGCCCGCGCCCCTCTCCCCGCCTCCCCGCAGAAACAGTCTCCTCAAGCCCCGCCCCCACCAGCGGGCCAATCCTAAGCGCACTCTGGAGGTGGGGTGTTGGGACTGTCCCCACAAAACCCACGCAGCCCTTGCGGAGTCATGAGCGCCGGGGGTGGGGTGAGGCTGGCGGGCGGGGGTAGGCACTGTCTCCGGCAAGCCACCTTCCGAGGGCCCCCTCCCCCCTCGTGCTTCCTGCTAACTCCTTTTTCTCTCTTTGGGGCTTTCCGTTTGAGCGAGTCGATGTTAGGTTTCTGGGTCTTCAAATAAAAACCAAAGGTTAAACCGAGCTGCAGGTTACTTTAAACCGCAGCTGGAGAGAGGTGGAGAGTAGAACCTCGCTGGTGGGGAGAGTAGGCATTCAACCTGCAGTGGGAAGGCTAGGTTGGGGACCAGGCTGAGTCCTCGGGCCTGGGCTGCGTGACCCCCAGGCGGATCTGTGCCCTCTCAGGACTCTTCTCTGGGAAGTGGGATAATATATATCCCAGGATTCCTGGTGCTGCTGGGAGAATATCAAAGATGCGCAAACTCCTCCCTCAGTGCCATCTGACACTCCTACTACCCTTGGGCATTATACCACCTGGGTTTCCATGAGGCCAGGCATTGGGTCAAAGGGAACAGCACAAGCACAGCAGAGGTGCCTGACTGGGCCAGGCCTTTAAGAATGGGGGTGGCAGAGGCTGCCAAGGGCAGCTCTCTGCAAGTAAGAGGCCAAGACAGGTCCTCCCCACCCAGCCCCAAGGACTATCCCTTCCCCCATTTGTAAAATAGTCTTGGGAGACTGGAAGATGACATAAATTTGAAACAGGAGTCAGCCAGATGGTGGGGATCTTAGAGGAGTCCCCCTTAGTAATAAGGAGGGGCATGGTTAAGGAAGGGACATTGGAAGTGAGCTTTAAAGGATAAGTACAAGTTTGCCAGGAGGCTAAGAAAGGACACTCTAGGTTGAAGGAACTACAGACCAATGAATTGCAATTAAGTTTGGCCAAGTAATGGTAAAGTAAAACAATTGTAGAAAACTTTCATTGATTCCTTACTTAGCATTTCCTCAAATGCTCCCAATAACAATCATAGTACTCCATGAGGTAGGTAGGATTATTTGCTCCTTTTTAAAAGATTTTTTAAAGATTTATTTTCATTTTATTTATGGACACAAGAGCTGGGGTGTAGGCCAGAGATACGTGTGGGGTGTGTGTGTGAGAGGATTCACCAGAGACAGTGGGGAACAGATCAGGCAGATCCACTGAAATACACTGCTGAGGGGGAGCAGCAGGCGAGACAGCAGAGGTCTGCTGTGCCACATGCAGGTTAGCTCCCAGGCTGGGGATCAAACTGATGCCACAGGCGCTGGCTATAGCTTCATAGCGCTGAGACTTTAAGCCCTGCGCCACCAAGGAGGCCCTATTTGCTCCTTTTTCATGAGGAAAAAACTGAGACTCAGAGAGAGGTAACAACAGACCTTGGTCTCCCTGCACTTCCATTTCCCAAAGGCTGTCTACTGGTTAGCTTTTCAGCTCAAGTTGTGGGCTCTCCCCACATCTCAGCAAACCATTTCCCTGCCTATCGAGGCAAAGGGCCAAGGTCAGGGTGGAGCATTTGAGGCTGCCCACTCACCTTCCTGCCTTGTGTGTGTGTGGGGAAATGACCTTATCTCTTCCTCTGCCAGACCCAAAGAGGGGTTCTATGCTGGGACCCAAGAGGATGGGTCTGGAAGGCAGAGAGACCCACACCTGGAAACCCACATGCAAACACACAGAGACACACACACCCACACATGTGCACAAATGGATACACTGACCCACACATGAACACAATAGGCACACAGGCATAAAGATATTTCTGTGTATGTAGCTAACCCCTTCCTCTCAAACCCTCTGGCTGCCAGGCCAGGACCCTTCCTCACAGCCTTCCTGCTCCAGATCCCAGGTGGAGGCAAGGTCTGGTGAGGAGGGAGAGGAGGGGGTGCTCATACCCACAATCTGGCAGATAAACTGTGGCCAGATACTATCACAACAGCCTGATCAGGCAGTACTTCTCCTTTAATATTGAGCATTCATTGTATACTAGGCACTGTGCAGGGAGTTGGGGAAGCAGCAGAGCCAGGAAAGGCAAGATCCCTGTCCTCTGGGAACTTACTGTCCACCCACACCATCTTTCTGGGTGGTTCCAAGAATATAAGGGGAGGGAAGGGGTTTGCCAGATAAACATTTGTACCAGGGAAGGGAGCATCAGGCAGCAAGCAAAGCACATGCAAAGGCCCTGAGCAGAAATGGGTTGGGAAGCCAAGACTTGGAGACCAGGAAGGTGAAAGGTCAGAGAGGGGTCAGGGTAAGGAGGGTGTGGGGCCTCCACTACTTGGCTGAATAGGCTCTGTTCTCTGGGTGATGAGGGCCAAGGAGGGGTAGTGCTTAGGGCAGTCCATCATCCCCAGAGATTCCAAGGATCTCTAGGCAGTGAGATTAGGCTTGGCCCCTCCCTCCTATCCCATCCCTAGCCAGTCTTTACAGCAGCCCATTAACCCCTTGACAGCCATGATAATAGCAATAAGCAGGAAATAATTAGCAGCTGGATTTCTGCTTCTACAGCCCAACCCCCTGCGGCTAAATGGTAAACTGGGGGGCGGGAAGGGGGCATGAGTTTAGCACCTTCATGGGGGACCCACAGCAGGCCCTGCCCGACCCAGAGTGCAAACGTAGGAAGGTACCTAGGGACACGGGTGCCTGGGTGGATAAGAGTTCAGCCTTGGCTCCACGAGCAGTTTCCAATCTGTAAAGTTAGGGAAGTCGGGACTCCACACTCTTTAGACCCAACCCAAGAAAAGTATCAGGATCAAAGTGCTTCTAACCAATTCTGGCAGCCCTCTCTCCTCTCCCCAGTCTTGCTAGAGCAAATACAGCACCAGGGGTTGCGAACGAGGTTGGGGGAGGGGGAGACAGAGGTGGGGCACCACTTCCCCAGGCCTTCAGTCCCCAGCCAGCACAAAGCCTAGACAGAGGAGCGCTAAGGGAGTTACCGTCGGCGTAATAAAACCGGAGGCGCCAGGGAATTATTTATCCATCCAAGGCCCCATCCCCCTCCGGTCCCCCGAGGCCGGTACCGCCCCCGCCAGGCTGGGGCCCCACGCGCGGCCACGGGGCGGGGCCTGAAGGCGGGCGGGCGCCTGGTGGCAGGGCTCATCACGCCACCCGAGACGTGCCTTGGCGGGAGGCGGCGCTGGGGTCAGCGGTCGCTCGCTGCACTCCCGGGGCGGGGGTGACCGGGCCCCAGCGTGCGGCCCACCCCCATGACGTCAACCCACAAGGCAGCGCGCTGTTGTGCCGTTTACCGTGCGTCACCGAGGCAACCGCAGCCCGGGGGGGCGTCAGTGGTTTGGCCCCGCCCATTCATGCAAATGACCGACGTCACCTGCGCCCAATGGCGAGCGGGGGCAGTGAGCTCATCGTACCCGGCCGAGGCTATAAAGGGGCGCGCGGACTGCGCCGCGCAGGAGCCGCCGCCAGCGGAGGGCCAGGCGCAGTGGCCGCGGCCGGGGCGGGTGCTGGGCCGAGCGGACGGGGGGGCGCGGGCCCCCCGGGCGGCCGCGGCCACTCCCCCCCGGGCCGGCGCGGCGGGGGAGGCAGAGGATGGAAACACCCTTCTACGGCGATGAGGCGCTGAGCGGCCTGGGCGGCGGCGTCAGTGGCAGTGGTAGCTTCTCGTCCTCGGGTCGCTTGTTCCCCGGGGCGCCCCCGACGGCGGCGGCCACCAGCATGATGAAGAAAGACGCGCTGACGCTGAGCCTGAGCGAGCAGGTGGCGGCGGCGCTCAAACCTGCGGCCGCGCCACCCCCGGCTCCCCTACGCACCGACGGCGCCCCGGGCGCGGCGCCCCCCGACGGCCTGCTCGCCTCCCCTGACCTGGGGCTACTCAAGCTCGCCTCGCCGGAGCTCGAGCGCCTCATCATCCAGTCCAACGGGCTGGTCACCACCACGCCGACGAGCACGCAGTTCCTCTATCCCAAGGTGGCGGCCAGCGAGGAGCAGGAGTTCGCCGAGGGCTTTGTCAAGGCCCTGGAGGACTTGCACAAACAGAACCAGCTGGGTGCGGGCGCGGCCTCCGCCGCCGCCGCCGCCGGGGGACCCTCGGGCACGGCTGCGGGCTCCGCACCCCCGGGAGATCTGGCCCCGGCCGCGGCCACGCCCGAGGCGCCGGTCTACGCGAACCTGAGCAGCTACGCCGGCGGCACTGGGGGCGCCGGGGGCGCCGCGACGGTCGCCTTCGCCGCGGAGCCCGTTCCCTTCCCGCCGCCGCCGCCCCCGGGCGCGCTGGGGCCACCGCGCCTGGCCGCTCTCAAGGACGAGCCGCAGACGGTGCCCGACGTGCCGAGCTTCGGCGAGAGCCCGCCGCTGTCGCCCATCGACATGGACACGCAGGAGCGCATTAAGGCGGAGCGCAAGCGACTACGCAACCGCATCGCAGCCTCTAAGTGCCGAAAGCGCAAGCTGGAGCGCATCTCGCGCCTTGAGGAGAAGGTGAAGACGCTCAAGAGCCAGAACACCGAGCTGGCGTCCACGGCGAGCCTGCTGCGCGAGCAGGTGGCGCAGCTCAAGCAGAAGGTCCTCAGCCACGTCAACAGCGGCTGCCAGCTGCTGCCCCAGCACCAGGTGCCCGCGTACTGAGCCGCGCGCCCGGCGCATGCGCGCCCCCCCGCGGGAGAGGCGGGCTCGCGTGGGGGGCGTGGGCGCCCGGGACCCGGAGAGGGCGCGGCTGGGGGGTCGCCCTCCGCTGCCCCCGCCCCCGCCGCCGCCGCGAGGGCGCCAGAACTCGGAGAGGGCGCGGCCCCTGAGGCCCCCTGCGAGGGTGCCCAGGACTCGGAGAAGGCGCCTCGGACTCGACAAGCTGGACCCCCTGCTCCCGGGGGTGAGCGCATGACCCCCGCCCTCGTGCCGCCCCGTCCCCGCGCGGCCGCCCCGTGTTGCACAGACCCGCGCGCCCCGGCCGCCCCTTGTGCGCGCCGCCCGAGGGGGCTCGGAGGGGCGTCGCCTCGAGCTCTGCGTTTCCTTTTCTTTCCTTTTCTTTTCTTTTTTTTTTTGAAGAGAGAACAGAGTGTTCGATTCCGCCCTATTTATGTTTCTACTCGGGAACAAACGTTGGTTGTGTGTGTGTGTGTTTTCTTGTGTTGGTTTTTTAAAGAAATGGGAAGAAAAAACTCGCCTCCCCTGTCTTCTCTCCCCCCCATCCCTCCTCCCGCCCTTTTGTTATGTTTTTGTTGTTTTGCTACGAGTCCACATTCCTATTTGTAATCCTTAGTTCGCCCGGGTTTCTGTTTTGAGTAAAGTCTCGTTACGCCACCCCGGCTCTCGGCCTCCTCCTTCCCCCGCCCGGCTGACGCGCTGGGCGGGGCCGGGCCCGCCGCCCCGCGCCCGGCCCCGCCCCTCCCCGCCGCCCCGCCCCTCCCCCGCCGCCCCGCCCCTCCCCCACCGGCCCCGCCCCTCCCCCACCACCCCGCGCCCGGCCCCGCCCCTCCCCCGCCGCCGCGGGGGCCGCTCCGCGCGCCTCTAGCGCGGCCTAGGCGTGCCCGGCCGAGCTTGGGGTCTCCAGCCAGCGCTTGGGACTGACTCGCCTGTGGGCGTCCCTTGTGCCTCCCCTTCGGAGAGGAGGGCCTGGGGTGGAAAGAGGGACAGCCCCAGCTCGAGGCGGGAAGGAACAGGCAGAAAGATTTTTATGTCTCTGCCTGTAAAACGGGAGAACAACGATAAACTCGCCTGTAAAGTTGTGAGAATTGAGTCTTTTCCAAGCAGTCCTTGGTTTACAGTTGGCGCTCAGTGTTAGCTTTGCTTGTGGTTTGGTGAACGGGGGAACTGAACCTCAAAGAGGAACAAGAAAGGTGGCACAGGTGGCAGCTGATGCAGGCAGTCCAGTTCCATAATTGGGGGTGTAGATGCACCCTACAGGACCTCCCTTTTAGGGTACTGTATCGTCCTGGGTATATGAAGTTCTTGAAACACCTCCCCCACCATCCTATTGTATTTTAAGAAAACTAAGGTGTAGAGAGGTTGATGGACTGACATCAGGCCATACAGCCATATTTGGACCTTGGGTGTCTCACCTCAGCCTTAATGGCCAGGCTGCTCTCCCTTTGCTGGCTCTGACTTTGCTATTGTGTGGGCAAAAGACTGGCTGGCTTTGGCATTCTGCCTCACTTGGGACCCCGTGGGACCTTGACATTGGTGGCGAAAGACACAGGACAAGCTGAGCTGCTGTGCATGTATCAAATGCAGCCACCCAGCCCTGCTAGGGAAGGGGGTAAGCTACCTGCTTCACAGAGGAGGAAACAGTATCATAAAGAAGGGAAACCTGGCCCACAGTCCCTTGGCCATTGAGAGGCCTTGCCACCTATATGTTCTCTCTTCCTCCTCATCACGACTGGCTACCCACTTTTCCAGGCTTCAGGGGCTTTTGGGGTTAGGTTTTTAAACATATGACCCTGTTTTCACTTTCAGGTAGACGTTTCAGGTGGGGTCCCAGGAAACAGGGTGGGGAGGCTGGGTGGGGGTGGGTGGGTGTTGGTTTATGAAGAGGTGGGGCTATCTTGACAAATAGGAGGCCAGGAATCATGTTTTGGGAACAGGGCTTTGCTTCTTGGATACTTGTCCCACCTTGAGTGTCCATTTGCCACCAAGTCTTGTTTTGGCCTCAACATGTGTGTATGAAATAGATGTGTCCACATCTCAGTAACATCACCCAGATCAGAAGTTGGGAACTGCCTGGAGGTGCTTGTGCCACCAACAAGGATAATGCTCAAGGATGCACCATAGAGCCCCCAGTATATAAGAAAGGGGAGACCCAGGAAGCTTTCAAGGTATGCCTGACACCAATTGAACTGTTTTCACTCTGAACACTTCTGATACCAAATTTGTGGGTTTTTCCCCACATACCAACCTATGCTCTAGCTCTCCAGACACCGGCTGAATGTAGTACTATATAGTTCTGACACTGAGAACTTGGATTTGGCAAAGACCTCACAGGTTAAGGGCTGGGTCCCACCAGACCTCATTTCTGTCACCAGGCCGAGGTTGCCACCTGTGCTTCTCGTTGACTATAAATGGACGGTTCTTAATACTCCTTACTTGGGTTCAATAATTTGCTAACATATTTCATATCTCAGGGAAATGCTTTACTTACTATGACCAGTTTATTATAAAGGATACAACTCAGGAGCAGCCTAATGGAACCAATACTTAGGGCCAGGTATGCAGGAAAGGTGTGGAGATCCGGTGTCCTCTTTGGACACAACTGTTCCAAACTTCCATGTAGCTCCCAACCTGCAAGCGCCCTGAATTCCTGAGCTTTCATTGCTGAGGTGGGATTGGTCAAACAATTAGCTATCGGTGACTGACTTCATCTCCAGCCTCTCTCCCCTTCCTGGAGGTCTGATAACCCTTGTTGTAGTCTTGCCTAGGTCTTTCTGGAGATTAGCCCTCTTCTGGAAGCTACCTAGGCCCCAGCCTGTGATCATCTCACTAGCATACACAAGACAGCACTTTGAGATTCCAAGAGTTTAGGAGCTGTGTGCTAGGAACCAGTAACAGAGACCAAAGATACATTATTCTATCACACCCCTGCTGAATTGGCAGAACAGGGGCTCTCATTCAGGACTCTGGCCTGCCTCCCAGGGGTTTTGGGATAGGTGGAATCCTATCTTTCCACTAGCAGATGATGCTGAGGAACTTTTTGAAAATCAGAGATCTGATGCCAGTTTGAAGCCTTTCTAGAAAACAACCCTTGACCCCCCTGACCCTGAGCAGGTCATGTCTGTTTAGTCGCCTTCACACCCAAACTCTTATTTCCTTTCTTTTGGCCTCAGGACGTTTGCGTGGTTGCACTGCCTGGTACACTTCCCTACCCACCCAGCTGAGCTCCACCTCTTATCGTCAGCAACAGACATCCACCTTGGAAGCCTGTCCAGACAAAGGACTTGGTCCTGTCCAACTTCACTGTACTAGGTTCTGCCCAAAGCCACACCCATAAGTTTTTCTCCTTTGCTCTCTTTCTCTCACTTTCTATGTGAATAAAGCCTGTTATTGTTTCTACCCCATGTGTCTGCTTTTGGATCACGTCCTTAAGTGTGTTGGTGAGGACCCGCTAACTGGGACAAATGGCTCCCCTGGATTTGTTCAGGCACAGATCTGGTCTCAGTACAAAGTAGGGGTTCAGAAAATGCCCAAGGAGTAAGATACTGAGGCTGCTTCCAGGCACTTGGAAAGGGGGATTTTGGGGTCCCCTCTGAGCTCAGAGTGCCAGCCTTCTGCTAATGATAGACAATATGTAGCCACCATCTGTGTCCTGCTGCTCTCCCTACCCCCCCCCACCTCCAGGTTGCCTTCTAGAATCTCCAGCCCCCAGGATCAAGTGGTGATTGGTCAGAACTTGATCCTGAGTCACAAAGCCACCGTGACACCAGGGTCCCAAGGCTGGCAATTCGGGCTGGTGGGTTCAGCTTCAGGGGCAGGTGAGTGGGGATGGTGGAGGGTTTGGGTGTTGGTAGGTACACAGGGACCCAATTGTTTTCTCCTGGACTTCAGTACCTTCAGAGTCCCCTGGAGCCTTCCAAGCCACTCTGAGAGTGTGTCAGCTCTTTAGCCTTTAGAGTAGAGTGCTAGGGGACCACAAACGCCTGATGATGGGTTTGTCTGTCGGGGAGGCCCATTCTGGAGGGACTATATATCACATCTCCTTGGGAGCCTGGGGACATGGTTTTAGCTCATGTAACATAGGGAAACTGAGGCTCAGGAGTTTACTTAAAATTGCTGAGCCAGCCACTCAGCTATGTGTCCAGGGCCCTGTATTCCTTCTTCCCACAACCTGTAAATCTATTGTTTGTTCACTCTGCTTGAGTTTATTGAAAGGGCTCAACTATGTGGTTGATGAAACCCTGGGATGGAACAGTTCAGATTCTGAAATTGCCAGCTCCAACTGACACTTGGGTTGCATCCATCCATCCATCCACCCACCAATCACCCACCCATTTACTTATCCATCTGTCTACCCATCTAATCATCCTCCCACCCATCTATCCATCCTTCTATCCACTGAGCACTTCCTGTGTCTAGTGTTTTAGGCACTGGGGATTCAATGATAAAAGAGATAGATGTCCATGGGCAGCTCATAGTCTCAAGGCAGATAGGAAATGACATAAAGCAGGGGGCCTCCCTGGTGGTGCAGGGGTTAATCTCAGCACTATCAAGCTTTCGGCAGCCATTGCGGCATGAGTTTGATCCCCGGCCAGGAAGCTAACCCACGTGGCATAGCAGACCTATCCTGTTTTGCCTGCTGCTCCCCTCAGCAGTGTATTTTAGTAGATCCACCTGTTTGCTCCCCACTTTGTCTCTGGTGAATCCTCTTACCCCCTGCACCTCTGGCGTATACTCCAGATCTTGTATGCATAAATAAATAAAAATAAATCTTATAAAAAATGACAAAGTAGTAAGAGACATAGTTGGTGAATTTCTCTGGGCTTCAGGCAGCTCCTCTATGAAATGGGGATAATGACTATCCATCTCCAGGGGAGCCAGCCTTGGGTCCTTTTGCCGATATGACCCAGTTCCATTGACACTTGTGAATGGTCCCAGCCCTCCTTGGGTTGTGGCTAGGATACATAGGACCAGACATTTAAGCCATCGCACAGGAGAAACCAGAATGTTCATCATGAAGGTGATGTATGGATTTTCAAAACAAATCTAATCCGATCACCTCTGTCTTCAATTGTTTAGCTCATTATATCAATTATTTTTTTAAAAGATTTATTTATTTATGCATATAAGAACCGGGGTACAGGCTAGAGGTGGGGTGGTGTGAGAGGATTCACCAGAGACAAAGTGGGGAATAGAACAGGCAGATTGACTGAACTACACTGCTGAGGGGAGCAGAGGGCGAGTCAGGAGAGGTCTGCTGCACCATGTGGGTATGTCCCTGGCCGGGTGATTGAACTCGTGCTGCAGTGGCTGCAGACAGCTTCACAGGTTGTGTCTTAACCGCTTGCACCACCAGGGAGGCCCCATTTTATCAATTATTGATATCACTTTACTACTTTTCTTTCTATTATCTCTGAGGTTGTTTTCCCCTCTACTACCCATCTTCTGCCTCTGGATTATTGGAATCCTCCTTCAAATTCATTTTTTTTTAAAAAGATTCATTTTTTATTTATACAGTAGCTGGGGTACAGGCAAGAAGCGTGGGAGGGTGAGAGGATTTACCAGAGACAGAGTGGGGAGCAGAATAGGCAGGTAGACCGAAAGCACTGCTGAGGGGAGCAGCAGGCGCGGCGGGAGAGGTCTGCTGCGTCATGTGGGAATCTCCCTGGCAGGCCAGGAATGGAATCTGTGCTGCAGAGGCTGCGGACAGCTTCATAGCCCTGTGCTCAACCCACTGTGCCACCTGGGAGGCCCTTGAATTCAGTTTTGACTATTGCCTTTTCTTTCTTTATTTTTTTTTTAAAGATTTATTTTTGCGTACAGGAACTGGGGTACAGGCCAGAGGTGTGGGGGCTGAGAGGATTCACCAGAGACAGAGTAGGGAACAGAACAGGAGGACTGACTGAAATACACTGCTGAGGGGAGCAGTGGGTGAGTCAGGAGAGGTCTGCCATGTCATGTGGGTAATTCCCTGGCCGGGGATCGAACTTGTGCTGTAGTGGCTGCGGCTAGCTTCATAGATTGCGTCTTAGCCCCTTGAGCCACCAGGGAGGCCCACTATTGCCTTCTCAACTATATTTGCTTGCATTTTTTTTCAGTGACTGCTTAAGGAATTATATGTCCTTGTCACAATGGGCTTATAATTGCTATTGTTCTGCTTCACCTGAAATGGAAAAAATCTTTCATCTCTATAAGTCCTTTTGATGTTCTATTTGTCAGGGGAACTATATCTACATAGATTATAAATGCCATAAGACAATGTTTAATTTTGCTTACAGCTTTATGTATATATATATATATTTATCCCTCTGGGCAATTGAAAACCCCCATATAACTTTTACCTCTAAAACACGTAACTATAATTGTCCTTTGCTGTCCATCAGGGGATTGATTTCAGTAACCCAAGGATACCAAAACTCATAGCTGCTTTAGTCACTTATAGCCAGCTCTTCATATCTGAGTCCCCCACATTCAGAGTCAGCCAAGCACACCCGATGTTGGTTGAATCCATCAATTCGGAATCCACAGATAGAAAAAAAAATCCTCATGTAAATGGACCCACACAGTTCAAACTTGTTTTTTTCCAAGGGTCAACTAGGAACATAATAATCTTTCTTATTTACAGAATTTACTGTCCCCGATATGTTCTTTATTTCTTTCCTAAGATGTGAGTTTCCTTACAGGATAATTTTCCTTTAGCTTATACGCATAAATAAAATTAATCTTTTTTTTTAAAAAAAGGAAGTGGGGTACAGGCCAGAGGTGGGTGCAGGGGGTGAGAGGATTCACCAGAGACAGAGTGGGGAGCAGAACAGGCAGACTGACTGAAATACACTGCTGAGGGGAGCAGCAGGCGAGACAAGAGAGGTCTGCTGTGCCATGTGGGTAGTTCCCTGGCTGGGGATGGAACTCATGCTGCAGTGGCAGCTGATAGCTTCGAAGTGCTGAGACTTAACCCCTTGTGCCACCAGGAAGGCCCACTGGACAACATTTCTAATGACTGGACAGGATAACACTGTATGAATGTTCTGCTGATGCATTTAGGTCACATGCCACAAGCATTTAGGTTATTTCCAGTTTTTACTTTTCTTTTTTTTAAGGATTTATTTATTGGGCCTCCCTGGTGGCGCAGGTGGTTGAGCACAGAGCTGTGAAGCTCTCCGTAGCCTCTACAGTGCCGGTTCAATCCCCGCCACTGGTGGAGCAACCCACATGGCGCAGCAGACCTCTCCTGTCGCGCCCACTGCTCCCCTCAGCAGTGTATTTCAATCAGTCTGCCTGTTGTGCTGCCCGCTCTGTCTCTGGTGAATCCTCTCACCCCCCTGCACCTCTGGCCTGTACCCCGATTCTTGTATAAATAAATAAATCTTAAAAAATATTTATTTATTTATGCATACAAGAACCGGGATACGGAAAAGATTCATTTATTTATGCATACAAGAACAGGGGTACAGACCAGAGATGCGGGAGGGTGAGAACATTCATCAGAGACAGAGTGGGGAACAGAACAGGCAGATCGACGGAAATACACTGCTGAGGGGAGCAGCGGGCAAGTCAGGAGAGGTCTGCTGCGCCATGTAGCTCCCTGGTAGCTCCCTGGCCAGGGATTGAACTTGTGCTGCAGTGGTTGTGAATAGCTTCATAGGTTGCATCTTAACCCCTTGCACCACCAGGAAGGCCCTCCAGTTTTTACTTTTCTAAACAATAAAGTGATCAACACCCTTGAGCATCCCTCTTTAGGCACATACAACTGACCCCTAGCAGTTACTTTGTTGGTTATTTCTAGTTGTTTGTTTCCATTACATTGGAATGAACTTTTATGCACCCTTAGCTTTGTGAACCTAAAAGTTTAGTTTTGCTTTTTTGAGAATATAGCATTTTTGCCTTTAATGTCTCTTCCTGTGTTGATCTTGAGGACAGAGCCCGTCCAGGGCAGGGTTGCTGTACATTGCATGGGCTGAGAGGGTGAAGCCTGCTTCCTCTTGCAATCTAGCTTCTGAGGTTACATCTTCTCTTCCTGCTTCTCCTCCAACTCTATGACCCCCACCCCCCACCAAAGTATGGGCAGGGGCACAGGCTGGTCCAGTCAGCTGGGAAGTGCATTCACTTTTTTGTCCATCCATCCATCCATTTCCACCCACCATCAATGCATTCGCTTTTTTATCCATCTATCCACTCATCTATCCATCAGTGTTCACATATTTATCCACTCATTTATCTGTCCATCTACCCATCCATTTACCCGCCTTTTTTTTTTTAAAGATTTATGTATTTATTTACATAAGAACCGGGGTACAGGCCAGATGCGCGGGAGAGTGAGAGGATTCACCAGATACAGAGCGGGGAACAGAACAGGCAGACTGATGAAATACACTGCTGAGGGGAGCAGCGGGCAAGACAAGAGAGGTCTGCCCCACCATGTGGGACCCTCACCGGCTGGCCAGGATCAAATGGGCACTGCTGAGGCTGTGGACTGCTTCACAGTGCTGCGTTCAACTGCCTGCGCCACCAGGGGAGGCCCTATCCATTTACCCTCTTATTCATCCTTCCATCAGTCCATTCACCTATTTATCCATCCATCCATCCATCCATCCATCCATCCATCCATCCATCCATCCATCCATCCATCCATCTCTTTAGTTATTAATCTATTCATCATTTCATTCATCAACTTAATTTACCAATCATCCATTCCTCTACCCAACCTGTCTACCATATATTCATCCATTGATCTATCCACTCAGTATTTAGTCATGCATCCATCTATCCATCCAACTTACAGTCGACTCACCCATTCTTTTATCAGTCAAGCTAGCCACCCACCCAATACCCACACATTCCCACCCTGGAGCCAGGCCTTAACTGAGGTGGGGACACAGAAATGACTCAGACTTGGTTCCTGTCCTCTAGGAATTCACACTGTGGAAAGGCAAATTACCATCACATACACACAGAGACACACACACACAGGAACTTTCCAAGATAGTATTATCAGTGCTGTACTCACAGTATGTTCTAGAAACAGAGTTTGAAGAGCCGCGATGTTTGGGATGTCAGGTGAGAACATACTGTGGGTGCCACTGCTGAATTGGCCACAGGACTATGAGGGAGTTTGGGTGCCAGAGGCCATTTGGGCAGGTGAGGGAGAGAGAGTGTGCCTGCAAAGGAGCGGCAGGAGATTGCTAACTGCCAGGAGAAGATGTAGGTCCCAGGGCAAGTGCCCTACCCATTCTGATACCAACTGTCTGCCAGATTGTGCTTCCTGACTACCCCACTCCCGGCTGCTCCCCACAGGCAAAGCTGACCCTCTTAGGAACCAAGACAATGCAGCAAGCAACACAGCGACCGTTGTCATCCAGTGAGCAGAACTCCTACCAGCCCCAACACACCCCCGATCTCCAAGACAAAGCAGAGACGCTGCAGCCACACCCCCAGCATAAGCCATCGATGAACAAGGAGACCGCTGTACAACAGCCGGCCACAGACAAGACAATGTCTCACCATATCCCACGCCTCCGGACTGTGGTTGAGAGCCAGGCCTTCAAGAACATCCTGGTGGACGAGATGGACATGATGCTGTCCCGGGCAGCCACCCTCATCCAAGCCAGCTGGAGAGGGTATCAGCTCCGGCAGAAGTTGACCTCACAGATGATGGCAGCTAAGTCCATCCAGGAGGCCTGGCGACGCTTCAACACCAGGCGCCTCCTCCGGTCGGGCAGGGCAGTGGGGAAGAAAGTAAGCGTGGAGGAAAAGGACATCCCCTACCACCCTCCGCAGCAAGTGCGCTTCCAGACTCTGGGAGAGGGTAAGTCCCTTCCGGCCCAGCCTGTCATGATAAGCAAGGAGACCCAATTCCCTTCCAATGACACTCTGGCCACTCTGGCCACCCAGGTGACCCCGCCACCGCCCCAGGGTACTCCACAGGTAGGCATGCAAACCCCTTATGCTGCCGGAAGTTCTGGTGTCACCTTCCTGCCACACCAGACCACTGCCATCAGGCTTCCATGTCCAGAAGCAAAGTGCCTGCTGACAAGAACCATCAGAAGTGCCTGTCTTGCCCACCATGTAGAAGGGGACATGGTGAAGACCAAGCAAATAACTACCAAAACCAACAAGGCAGGAACCTCTGGGCCACCACCATCTGGAAAGTATGTGCAGGCAGTTCATGGACCGCTCAAGACCCACGTGGGATCAGAAGTCAAAACCCTTCCCCAGAAAGACACAGTACCTGTGATAGCCAAGACACCAGCCCAGTCGAGCCCAGTGCCCACAGTAGCAATTACCAAAACTCCCCTCCAGACATACCCAGTAACCAAGACCCCACCCCCGCCATGCCCAGTGCCCATGATAACAATAACCAAGACCGCTACCCGGCCATGCCCAACCACCCTGGTGGCCAAGGCCCCACCCCAGACATGCCCGACATCCACAGTGACCAAGATCCCATTCCAGTCATGCCTGGTAGCTACAATGACCAAGACCCCACCCCAGACGTGCCCACCCGCCATAATGACCAAGATCCCACCCCACATGTGCCTGCCAGCCACCATGACCAAGACCCCACCCCAGACATGCCCACCAGCCATAATAACCAAGACTTCATTCCAGACATGTCCACCAGCCACAATGACCAAGATTCCACTCCAGACATGCCTAGCAGCCATGATGAACAGGATCCCAACCCTGCCATGCCCAGTGCCTGAGATGACAATAACCAAGACCGCTCCTCTTATACACCCACCACCCACAATGGCCAAAGTGCCTCTTCAGCCCTGCCCAGTGGCCCCGATGACCAAGACTCCAGCTCAGACACAACCAACAGCCCCAATGACCAACACTCCAATCCAGACTCAGCCAGCAGCCATGGTGACCAAATTCCCACCCCAGATATGCCTATTAGCCTCGATGATTAAACCCCCACCCCAGACACGCCCCACAGCCATGAAGACCAAGACCCCGCCCCAGACATGCCCAGTGACTGGGATGGCCAAGACCCCAGCTCAGACTCACGTGGCATCTACGTCGGCCAAGACCACAGTGCAGACAGGCAGAGTGGTCACAATAACCAAGACCCCATCTCAGATGCCTCCAGGGCCCTTACTGACCAAGACCCCTCCCCAGACGCGCCTGGCAGCCATGATAACCAAGACCCCAGCCCAGCTGCGTTCAGTGGCCACCATCCTCAGGACCCTATGCTTGCCTCCTCCAGCGGGTGGAAATCTGAAGGCTCCGCCTACAGCAGCGGGTGGAATTCCCAACACCTCATCCCATACTTGTCTGAATGGACCAAAGGCCAAATCTGTGGTGACTGCCAGGCAGGTGGTAGGGATGACCAAAATCTCATCCCACTCATGCCTGACAGAAGGGAAAGCAAAATACTGTCCCGAGCCCCAACTGGGGGCCGGCACTTCCAAGACTCCAGCCAGCTCTCCTTTGGAAGTTGAAAAAACCAAGGCCTTGCCTCAGAAACAAATAAAAACAGTATCTAACACCTGTGTGACAATGCACACGACTAAGGCCTCTCCCTGTGGAAAAGTGACTGAGGGAAGGAAGTTGTCCTCACAGGCACTCCTGAAGACCGATGTTGTGAAGGTCCAATCCCAGGTGTTTGTACCTGTAGAAACAGCTGTGATCCTGCCCCAGGAACCAGTGACCACATGTCCAGCCAAGAGCCAGCCCCAGGCACAGCTGGCCACATATCCAACCACAACCTTATCTCAGACACATCCACTTGCTGAACTGACCAAGGTCCTGTCCCAGGGACATCCATCAACCAAGCTGGCCACTGCCCTGGCCCAGTCACCTCTGGGAGCATGTCTATCCAAGGTGCAGTCTCAGGGAGACATGCCCCCCAAGTTGGCCAAGGCCCCATCCCTGGCTCACCTGGGCACATGTCTGACCAAGGCACAGTCCCAGGCACATTTGGTCACAGGAGTGATGAAGGTCCAGTCCCAAGCATATCTGCCCATCCAACTGACCAAGGCACAGTCCCAGGCCCAGCTGGTCACAGAAACAGCCAAGTGCCTTTATGCAGCCCATCAGCCTGCTGAGCTGAGCAGCAAGACCCAGTCTCAGCCTCTTTTGGCTGGATTGAAGGCCTCCACCCAGCCCTGCCAGCCGGTTGGCTGCGCTCTGCCCCAAGCCAAGTTGGATGATAGACTGACCCAGCTCCCAGTCAACAGCTACACTCAGGCCAAGACCACCCAGGACCCATGCCAAGGGGGCCCTGAGACCCAGAGCATGCTGGTGCCACTGCTGGCATCCGCTGGACACCCCACCTGCAATGTGGAATCTTGGGGCGACAGTGGGAAGGTCCGGGCCCAGTCCTCCACAGCCAGCCCGGCCACGCCCTGTCAGGAGGAACTAGCGGCCTCGCAACTTGCCTCTCTGTGTGCTGAGCTGGCGGCTGTGCTGGGCTCCCATGAGGACCTCCGCACCCTGCTGGCCAAAGCCCTGTCTCAGGGGGAAGTACGGACGGTCCTGAACCAGGCTTTGTCTAAGGAAGTCCTGACAACCACTATGACCAAGGCCCTGCCCCAGGGCATGCTGGGTACGGCGCTGGTGAAAGCACTCTCCTGGGGTGAACTGGGCATTGCCCTGTCCCGTGCTTTGTCCAGGGGTGAGCTGCGGGCCGAACTTACCAAGGCTATGCAAGGAAAACTGGCCGAAGTGCTCAGCAAAGCCCTGACGGAGGAGGAGCGTGCGGCCCTGAGCCAGGCCCTGTGTCAGGGCGAGCTGGGAGCTGTCCTGGGCCAGTCTTTGTCTCAGGCAGCCCTGAGGACTGGAGTCATACTCCCCAAGGCCACCTCAAAATTGGGAAGTGGAATGACTATGATGCCAACCCCGGTGGAGGTGGACTACAGGGGGAGCCAGTCAGCCCCATGGGGGCCCACCCTGTGTCCTGTGAGACCACAGCCCAGCAAGGTTAGGGTTCCTGAAGATGGGGTCTGGGAGGGTTGTATCCAAGGCTGTCCCACTGGGTTCTTGGCGGAGATGGGGGATGGGGTCATGCTTATGGGGTCATCCTGCTGGTCAGTGGTCTCTGTGTGTGCCTCCTCCCGTGGTAGAGTAATTGCTACCGTCCATCAGTGTCCCCTGAGCACAACCTTGGGCCCCACTTTGTCATGGGGGCCAAGGTCCTGCAAGTACGCCACCTCAAACCTGTCTCTGAGCCCCAAGGCCAATGAGAAAAATGCGTACCTTCTCCTTGGGGCCAGCAAATTGGCAAGAGACTCGGCACCCAAATTGCCCAAATCACCACACCCACAGCCTCCTCCCAGTCTATGGCAGCCTCTCATTGCCAATGGGGCGGGCCCAAGTACCAGCCAGCCATCAGTGGCTAGTGGCCCGGGACCAAGGTCCCACAAACCACACATGGTCAGCAGGGTGGCCCCACATTCATGGGTGTCATCTGGGGCAAGTCTGGGGACCCCAGGCAAACTTCCTGCCACTTCAGGCAATGGGAGTCCTGCCCATACCCACCAGTGTGCGGCGGGCTATGTGGGGGCTGCTTGCTGGTGTCGGCCCTCTAATGTGTGTCGAACCTTAGTGGTCAAAGGTCCAGAACAACAATCACCCATGGTCCCTGAGGGGACCGTGCAGAGTACCCAGCCCCCAAATCATAAATGGGCTCATGTGGGCACTAGGGAGATAAACAATAAGGTGACCCCAAGTCCACCACTGGCTGTGAAGAAGAGAAAAATGCCCCTAACCCAACCACAGGCCTCCGCGGCCTGTGACAAAAGTCCCAGTGTCTCCATGGCTTCTGACCAGCACTGTGCCCTGAAGAGTCAGCTAGACCCCAGCCTGTTCACAGCCTCGGCGGGCAGCAGGTTAGCACCCTCCCTTCCCTGGGCAGCTCTACCCAGGAAAGGGAGGACTCGGACTCGGACTTCCATTCCAGGCATAAAATGCCCACAGGACCACATGCCTGGCCACATACTCAGTGAACTCACGGTCAGTTTGTCACAGGGTTCAGACTGTGACGTGACCGGTAGCTTCTCCCAGGGCTCCGTCGCCCAAGGCCCAAATGTGAGCAGCTCCCAGAGCTCAGCGTGGAGCTGCAGCTCACTCAGCCCTTCCACCATGTCTGTGGCTGGCCTGACTGCGGTCGCCCAGGGAGAGGAGGGGTCCTGGGAGGCCAGCCTGGGCAGGAACCTGCAGCTAGAAAGTCCTCTCACTTCAGAGGCCCTAGGAAGGGTCCAGGGGCCTGGGGAAGTGAAAGTGGCTGAGAGAGGGGCCCATAGGCCTCTGATCCCCACTCTCCACCACCAGTCTGCTCCAGCCTCAGAAACGATCCCTATTCTGAACTGCAATTCAGTACCCAGTTGTGTGACCTTCAGTGTCCACTGGGGCTCAGCTGATCAGGACGACATAAATATAGGCTCAGATCAATGTTCTGTGGGCTGGAATAAGAGCTCTCCCCAGGGCCCCTGTAAGACAGGGCTGAGGAGAAGTTTGTCTTTGGGTGATTTGGTCCTTACCAAACATCAGCACTCCTCTGTGGCCAGTAGATTGACCTCAAACCTATACCAGCCAGTGACTGGTAAGGTGGGCCCCACCTTAAACCAACCTTATATGGCCATTGAGGTGACCCCAAGTTTATCCTATCCCTCTATATCCCGTAAGGGGATCCCCTGTCTAGGCCACTCTTCAAAGGCTACTCAGGTGGCCTTCAGCGTAAGCCAGATATCAGGGGTCAGTGGGGTGCCCCCTAGTGGAAATCAGGCAGAAAGTACCAGTGAGGTTGGCTCAGGCCCTGCCCAGCCATCTGTGACCAGTGGGGTGAATCCCACCCTAGCCCAACCATCTAAGGCCAGTGAGTCAGCCCCCTACCTATCCCAATCATCTGTGATCAGTGGGTTGAACCCCAGCTCAGCTCAGTCATCTGTGATTGACAGGGTGACCCCCAGTGTAGCCCAGGCATCTGTGAGTGGTGGGGTGGCTCCCAGTCTAACTCAGGCATCTGTGATTGGTGGGGTGGCCCCCAGTCTAACCCAGACATCTGTGAGTGATAGGGTGACCCCCAGTGTAGCCCAAGCATCTGTGAGTGGTGGGGTAGCCTCCAGCTCAGTCGAGTTATCTGTGACTGGTGGGGTGACCCCGAGTCTATCCCAGCCATCTGAGAGTGGTGAGGTAGCTTCCAGCTTAGCCCAACCATCTGTGACTAGTGCGGTGGCCCCTAGTCTAGCTCAGCCATCTATGATTAGTGTGGTGGCCCCCAACCTAGCCCAGCCATCTGTGACTGGTGAGGTGCCCCCTAGCCTAACCCAGCCATTTATGACTATTGGAGTGGTTCCCCATCTAGTTCAGCCATCTATGACTGATGGGGTGGCCCTCAGCCTAACCTTGCCAACTATGACTGGTGGTGTGGGTGGCCTAGGCCACCCATCCATGGTCAGTGGAGTGATGCCTAATCTTGTCCAGCCATCTGTGACTGGTAGGGTATTCCCCAGCCTAGTCCAATCATCTATGACCAGTGGGGTGGCTCCTAGCCTAGAATACCCAGCCCTGGTCTGTGGGGTGACACACAGCCTGGCCAAGCCACCTGTGGCCAGTAGGGGGTCCCCAAGGCTGATCCATCCATCAGTAACCACTAGGCGGACCTCCAGGACATCCCAGCCTTCTACTGTCAGTGGCATGGGCCGTGTTCTCAGACAGCCAAGAGTGGCCCCTCAGGTGGGCTCAAATCTGTCATCAAGTATCAGTTCGGTGACCTGGCGCCAGCATCATCCGTCCTTTCTGGTTGAAGTCAGTTCTAGCAGGCCATATCCTTCTGCAACTGGAAGCATGGCCCAGGGTCCGAGCCAGCCCTCCGTGAACACTGGGGTGGACACATGTAAAAGTCCTCTGATGCTCAGTGGGGTCACCTCCAACCTCCAGGCTCCTGAGTTCAACGAGCTGTCCCTGAGGTTTCATCAGCCACTTGATGTGGGGAGACATGTACCCGTAGCTGAACACTCTGCAATCACTATTTCAGTACCAAATATCTATCCGGCCTCTGTGGCCAGTGGGGAGTCTGGTCTAGGCCAGGAATCTGGTGTATCCCAAGGAATTCAGTTCAGAGGCTTGGCTGCCAGCATGTCCCATGGTGCCACAACAGCTGGCGTGCTCCCAAATATGTCTCAGGGGACCTTGACGGCTGGCATGGTAAGGAATGTGTGCCAGAGAAATGTGGTGACTGGTATGGGCCAATCTGAGGTGGCAGGTGACATAGTTCCCATCACATCGCAGGCCTCTGCGGCAGGTGTTCCTTTGATTCCTGAACAAATCTCAGAGATGTGTCCCAGGTTCCCTTGGGCGTCAGTGCCCGATGGAATCAGTATGAGTTCATCCAGTTTTCCTCTGGCTGGTGTGTGTCCCAACATGTCTCAGGTCAGTGGTGATCTCCCAGTCCATGTGGACCAACAGCATCCTCCTGTGTCCACCACTGTCACAGCCAATTACCAACAAACCAATGCTGTCAGCCAGGAGTCTGTGTTGGGCAAAGTCAGAGATCTTGTGTCAGGTTCTGCAGCCAGTAAGAGGACCATGGCCATGGACCCAGGCACTGTGGCCAGCGGCATGGCCCCCAGCCTTAGTCCAAAGTCTATGATCAGGAACATGGGCAAAAGTGCTCCTCCCAGGTCAAGGGTCAGTGCTGTGGCCCCAGGCCTTCCACCAGATTATACAGTCAACAGTGAGGTTGCCCAGTGCCTTCCCCCAGGGTATGCCCAGTGCCTTCCCCCAGGGTATGCCCAGTGCCTTCATCCCGGGTCTATGGTTAGTGGCATAGGTCAGGGACTGCTCCCAGGATCTGTGATTGGTGGCATAAACCAGTGTCTTCCTCCAGGGTCTGTGACTGGTGGTATTAGCCAGTGCTCTCCTCCAGGGCCTGTAGTCAGTGGCATTGGCCAGTACCTCCCCCCAGGGTCTGTGATCAATGGCATTGGCCAGGGCCTCCCCCCAGGGTCTGGGATCAGTGGCATTGTCCAGTGCTTTCCCCCAGGGTCTGTGAGCAGTGGCGTTGGCCAAGGCCTTCCCCCAGAATCTGTGGTTGGTGGGACAGCTCAGCTCATTCACCCAGGTGCTGCAGTGAGTGGCACGGCCAAGACCCTGCCTCCAGCTCCTGTGGTGAGTGGGCTGGGTCAGAGAGTCCCTTCTAACTTGATGGCCTCTACTATGCTCCCAGCATCTATGACTGGGGGGGTGAATCAGGGCCTGGATGTGGGGCCCATGGCCCCTGCAAGCAGAAGCATGAACCAGAGCCCTCCCCAGGGGTCCATGCTGATTGGCATCACTCCACGCCCTTACCTTGGAGCTCTGGCTGGGGAAGGAACTGCAAGCCCCATCAGGGCATCCCATAATATGGGCCTGGCACAAGCTCATCCCCAAACCTTGGAGGCTAGTGGCACAGCCAAGGATGTGAACCAAGAGTCCATGGTTCTGCAGAGAGCTGAGCAGTTGAACCAAATACTAGGGATAATGCCATTTGAAACCACAGATGGTCAGATAATGGTGAAGCCAGATGACCAGGAGGAGGGTTTGTCCCAAGAATGTGGATGCAGTGTGGGGTCTGATAAGCCTGTGATCCTTGAGGGAACCCCATGGATGTACCTTAACCCCATGGTGACTGACCTTGACTCTAGCCCTGAACTCTTGGCTGAGGATGGCGCTCTTCCCATAGGCCACAGGCCCCTGCTGCAGGAGGTAGTTCCTAGGCAAGTCAAGTCTATGGCCAGTGGACTGGCCCCTGGCCCCCCGCAACACTCAAGTTTTGTCAAGAACTCCATGGCTGGCAATGTCGCCATAACTCTGCAGCATGAGTCAGCAACCATTTGTGGAGTCCCCAGCTCCCACTCTGTGGCTGTTAGTAGGGTCCCTAGTGCACAGAGGGCATCTGTCAAGGACACTGGGGACTCCTTGGTTCGTCAGGAGGCACCTGTGGGTCCAGTTATGTCCCAAAGCCCCTCAGCTCATCAGCAGGCATCAGGGGTCCCCATTGTGTCTCAGAGCCCATCGGGGCACCAGAGGGTGCTGGTGGGCCCTGCGATGTCCATGGCTCCTGCGGTTCCCCAGCACCCCTCAGCTCATCAGCAGGTACCAGTGGCCCCTGTGGCTCACCAGAGTCCCGCAGTGCTCCGACAGGTGTCAGTGGCACACATCGAGCCCTGGAGTGGTTCCCATGGAATGGTGGGTTCTCCTGATGTCTCTCGGCCATCCAAGTTAGCCCATGGCCGTTCTGTGGCACCTAGTATGCACACAAAATCTGTGATCGGGATGAGGACCCCGAGCCCTTCCCAGAGGCTAGGGACCACCGACTTGGCCTCACAAATGCCTCCGTATCCATCCAGGGCTAGCGGGGCAGCAGCGGGCAGGCTCCAGACAGAAACCATCCCCAGTGCCCTCCAGAAGCCAGTGTCTGGGGGCCTGACTCCCAGGAGACACGAGTCCGTTCGCCCTTGGAAATCCTATAAATCCATACATAGTGGCCTCGTTCCAGAAATCCTAGACAGTTCTGTGGCTAAGACTGTGCCCTCCCATTCAGGGAGGGAGAGTGCCTCCAGGTCCCCATTGGTTGGTTCCAAATGCTTCACAGGGGCACCGCCAGGCTTAATGCCAATCATCCACACTGAGGGGAAAGCACGTGGCCCGGCTACCTCTAAGCTGCATGGGGGGGTTCGGAAGGTGTCTCTGGGCTATGCGTCCACACCAAATGGTTCCCGGCGGTCCCTTTTAAGACAGGAGTCACTGCTGGAGTCTTTGGACTCCAAGGTTTCTGCGGCCCATCCCAAGGCATCCCTGACTCCTGCTGTACTCCAGGGCCCCGTGGATGCTGGCATGGCTGGTGGTCAAGCACGGAACTCCACTGCCCCCACTGTAGCAGTTGGGCCCGTGAGCGGCACTGTGGCCCCTGGTGGCGCGTGGGAGCCACCCAGGGGGATTGTGCCGTGGGGCACCGCGGGCAGCGAGGCAGCGGTGGATCCCAGACAGTCCGATCAGCTCATGGCATCGGTGCAGGCTGTGGAAAAGATAATCATTCAAGCCGTGATCACCATCCAGGCGTGTGCACGCGGCTACCTGGTGCGCCGAACCATCAAAGTGTGGCACCAGTGGGCTGTCATCATCCAGGCTGCCTGGCGGGGCTACTGCGTGCGGCGGGACCTGCTCCGGCTCACCAAAGCTGCCACGATCATCCAGGCCGCGTGGCGAGGCTTCCACTTCCGCCACAGTCAGGCCTGCCAGATGCTACACCCGAGCATGTGGGTGGAGACGGGCAGTGGGACCAGGGCTATGTCCGATCACCGCTGCTTCCAGTCTTGCCAGCCACACATCTGTACCCTGTGTCAGTCACTGACTTCTGGACTGGGAAGCACACCCAGCGTGGTGATGCTTGTGGGTTCCAGCCCCCGCACCTGCCATAAGTGTGGCCAGACCCTGCCCACTCGGGTGGTACATGGCATGGGCCAGGGAGGTTCAGGCCTGGCGTTGGGCCACAGCAGGCACCTCATCCCCCGGACCTCTCAGCACCCCCATTGCCAGAACAAGGCGGCCATCGCCATCCAGGCTGCTTGGAGGGGCTTCTTGGTGCGCCGCCAGCTGAGGCAACAGCAGCAGGCAGCCAAGATGCTCCAAGCGACCTGGCGCGGACACCGGACCAGGTCCTCCCTCAGCACGGATGCGCTCTTGGGGTCAGCATCATGGGACAACCCACAGCACATGCAGTGGCCTGGTGTCTAGGACTCCGACTGCCAAGTGGGGGGACACCAGAGGAGAGGGTGTGTGGTTCTCTGAGTCTAATGAATAAAGCCCTCCCACAGCCTGGCTTTTGATCACCTGTGCTCATGGGACATCTTGGGTGTAGTAGGGGGAAAGTTGGGGGAGTCGGGATCACCCTGCATAGGAGGGTCCCCAAAGCTTCCAACTATACAGTTAGCACCGGATCTGTGACAAGGATGGGGAACCGAAGTCCTTCCCGGAGATCAGGGGCCATCAGCGTGGCCTTACTGTGCTACTGTGTCCGTCCGTGATTATCAGGGTGGCATCTGTGGGTGGCAGATGGGAGCCAGGGTTTGGGAACTCAGTCCAAATGACCACCATGAGTCCCCTGAGCCTAGAAAACCCTAGAGGTACATGCATGGCTGTGCCCTTCAGGAAATGCTAGGGCGTTCCAGCCACATCCTGATTTGGAATGCTGGACCCATTCCAAGGGGCCAAGTCTCAGGGAGAGAAAGGAGCTGGGGGTGGGGGGGGCAGGTTAGGACATGGGTCTCCTCATACTGTTCTAAGCACGCACCACTCCCCCAGGAAAAAGCTGCTCCTCCTCCCGGAAGCAGGGGTGGGGGAGTGGGAAGATCATCTGGGGCACCCCCACCTTTCCACCCGCCCTTCTGGTCATGAGCCTGTTAGTCCTGTGACCCTAGTGTGACCTGAACTGTTGGGAGGCCCCATTTAAAACCTCAAGTTTCTCAGTCCAGCCCCCAAAGGGAAAAGGGTTAGGCCCTCAGGACCATGGTGGCGGTGAGGGGGAAGGGCTTACTTCTTGGTCATGAAGCATTTATGGCTCCCAGGAGAATTTCCTGGTGCCTGACTTAATTCCCTTCTGCAGCCCTATGAGATGATTCCCAGGCAGAGAAAAACTGGACGTCTTACATGCAGCTCCCCTCCTGCCTCATCATTGCTCTCTGACCCACATCCTCTCCCCAAACCTGTAATAGAGCAGAGGCCACCACACCTAAGATACTTGCAGGCAAGGGCTTCACTTGTAAGGGGGCATATTACCCCCACTTCATAGCTCAAGAAGCTAAGAGGCAAGTGGAGTCCCCCAGCCTGTCATACTGGGATTAGAACCAGTTGATTTGGCTCTTAGACGTGGTGTACAAAATCCTTCAGTCTCCCTAAATTAGAAGGAGCCATGCAAAAGGGGCTGGACATCTCAAGGTCAAACACCCTTCCCCTCATCATCAGCTCCCAGCACCTTCATGGTAGTTTTCTTTCCGGTGGTTAGGAACTTTCCATTGTCCTTGACGAGGACAGATTCATCTGACCATTTCTTTCTTTCTTGCTTTCTCTCTCTCTCTCTCTCTCTCTCTCTCTCTCTCAAAGATTTATTTATGCATACAAGAACTGGGGTACAGGCCAGAGGTGTGGGGGGTGAGAGAATTCACCAGAGATAGAGTGGGGAACAGAACAGGCAGACTGACTGAAATACACACTGCTGAGGGGAGCAGCGGGCAAGACAGGAGAGGTCTGCTGCGCCATGTGGGTTGCTCCCTGGCCAGGGATTGAACTCATGCTGCATTGGCTGCAGATAGCGTCATAGGTTGCGCCTTAACCCCTTGTGCCACCAGGGAGGAGCCATCTGATCATTTTTACTTCCAGTCATAGCTTCTCAAGTTTGGTGTAATCTTCCATCAACACTCCAGCTCGCTGAATTCAGGGGCAAGCTCTAGGACACCCACAGTCCCTCAAGTTCAAGGGCAACCCCCACCATTCAGCTCAGTGCCAAGAGTTCAGGGATGATATCTATCCCAAACCAAAGACAATCACAGACCCCAGCTCTGGCTCCCACACTTTAAACGTTACTGCAAGCCCCATACTAATTCCAGTGGGGGCAGACCACAGCTCTCACCCCACAAACTCTGAATTCAGGGGAAGACTGCACAACTTCCCATAGTCCCTCAAATTAAGGGTCAACCGCCACCACACACCCCAGCTTTGTCTCCCCCAGTTCAAAGTTCACCTCCACCCCCTACTCCAGCCCTGTGGATTCCATCTGCTCAAGTTCCACCTTCCTAAGTTCCAGAGCAGAGCCCTCTTCCATGCCCTCCACCACCTCTGGGACCTTGATGTCCTCTAGCCCCAGTGAGTATTGGGAAGGTTGGGAGGGTGATGGGAAAGAAGTTGGGGATACTAGGTGCAGTTCTGGGGTCCGCCACCAGAGAGAGCCACAGACCTGAGAATATGGACAGGACTCTCCTCCCCCTACCCCCAGCCTTTAGAGCTGAAGTTCTTCAGACTTTCTTCATTGCATGCACATTTTTAAAAAAAGATTTATTTTATTTATTTATGCATACAAGAACTGGAGTGCAAGCCAGAGGTGCCAGTCTCTGCAAGCCAGAGACTAAGTGGGGAGCAGAACAGGCAGATGGACTGATATACACTGCTGAGGAGTAGCAGGCGAGAAAGGAGAGGTCTGCTGCACCATGTGGGTAGCTCCCTGGCTGGGGATCGAACTCATGCTGCAGTGGCTGGTGATAGCTTCATCGTGCTGAGACTTAGCCCCTTGTGCCACCAGGGAGGGCCCGCATGCACATTTATTGAATGCCCTGTGTATGTCATGTTCTATGGGTTACTACTGTGTTGAGAAACAGATTATAAGTAAGATATATTTGTTTATAAAAGAACAAATTAGAGTAGGATAAGCCATCAGAGTGTAAATGCAAATGGTTTGAAAATTTTTAAGAGTCATCAGCAGAGGGGAAGTAGGAGCCACACAGGGATCTAGGGGGAGAGCAGCTCAGGCAGCAGGCAAAGCCCCTGAGGTCAGACTGTGCCTAGTATTTTGGAGGAACAATGAGGTGGCTGGAGGGGATCAGTGGGATATTATTTTGTGTGTGTGTGTTGAGGGGGTATCATAAAGGATAGGGAGTTTGCAGGGTGACAACACAGGGCTTCAGGGACTAAACAGAGGTCAAGCATTTTGGATGGGGTGGGATCAAGTAAAATTATTATTCAGAATAATATGTGGTCTCCAAATTGTTCAAGTGTAGTGAACTTTTGCTTAAAGTCATAAGCTACGAACCATCGTTACACAGTATTAGATTGGGCTTGCTCTGTCGGAGGGTCACTGCATTTGGGACCAGAGGTCCAGATGAAATTTTTCTCACTTTGCAAGAACTCCCAAGAATTGGCAGCACAAGCACAGTGCACTTAATGAATTCCTTATGGACAAATATAGTCAAAATCAAGAAGATAAAAATATGCTTTATAAAGATTAGCTGACATTAGAGGGAAACCAGCAAATCTGCCCAGGAAGGGACATAAAAGGCTCTGGGCCTTGGTAGGTGGCTCAGCGTGAATGGGATGCCATCCAGGGCTGACTCAGGTTACTTCCCCTCAACTCCAGGCAACATTGGGGTGCCTGAGTTTGCAGGAATCTGGGTATGGACTGGGGAGGTCACCCTCCTAAGTGGGGCCAATCCTGCCAGAGCCTACTATGCCTGACTGTCTCAATGTCTGTATTTCTCTTCCATAAGCAAGAGGTCACTGTTTGCCTGTCACTCACTGTAGTGATCACTGCTGGGGTGACAGAGAAGGCTTTGGATGGGGCTGGGGTGTTTGAGAGGGGAAAGCTGTGGGAGTAAAGTCCCTCTGTTCCTCTGAGGCCTCCTGTGTTACAGAGCTGGAGCCCTGGGATTACAGTGAGGACATTATCCCACCACAATCTTGTGGGGGCTGATGGTAGGGGAAGCTGAACAGACAATAGCCAACACCATTTCAGATGGTTCTGAGGTTCATGGAGACAGTTTGGGACCGTGACCTGGTCCAGGCTGGTGTGTCCAGGTTTGCTAGGAGGTCAGGGAGGCCTTTCTTGGATTTTGAGCAGAGACCTGAAGGGTGAGAAGGGACCACCCTGGGGAGAGCTGGGGGGGACAGAACTAGTGCAAAGGCCCTGTAGCAGGAAGGAATTGGGTGCTTAGAAGCCAATGATGAGGTGTGTTGGATTGGGGGAGGAAAGAGTGGAGGACTCGGGTCACAGGAAGGAGTGTGGGTTTTAATCCAAAACCTTGGTGGGGAGTTGAAGAGGTTTTACAATCTGCAAGTGCCAGAATTTGGTTGGTCTTTAAATTTTTAGGAGGGCTGGTCAAGGGAAGAAGCCTTTCCAGGAGGCAAGATTTGGACAGAGGGAAGCGCTAGCAAAGAGAGAGTGACCACGCTCACCCTGCCCATTGTGCAAACAGTGTTGGAGGGGCAGCCTGCGCTGGAGCCACGTAGTGGTCAGTGGGCTCATCCTGCCCACCCTAGGACCATCCGGGCTTCTCTAGCTAAGGGGACCAGAGAGGCTCTGGGCTGGGCTTTGGCCTGGTGCCTTCTCCGGGACTGGGACTGGACTTGCCCTGCTGTGAAATGGGTGGTTGGAGAGGCCCAGTCAAGGTCACCTGGCTCTTTGGGATGAAGTCTGCCCAAGGGAGGGTCATGCTCTGATGATTCTTGGGGGCAGAGAGGACGGTGGAGCCTCCCAGGCAGGCGGCAGTTCTGGTGAAACATTAACTTGCAGTGGCTCGGGAGGCAGCGGTGCCAACCAAGCCCCTTCCCCCGGCCAAGCCCTTGCATCTCCTCCTGGGGACCCAGGGCCCCTCTACAGCTTCAGACCCACTGTTTACAGGGGAAGTATTGACCAGAGAGCGTCTTAGATCTGCTTTGGGATGGCATAGCCTGGTTGGTAGCTGACCTGGAGACTCCAGGGACCCCTGAAGGACATCCCCAAACTCCCACATGGGGCTTCGCTGTGAAGCACCTGTGCCAGACCCTGAGTTGGTAAAATCCCCCCTTTTACCCCAAAGTCATACCTCTCTCTGTCACTGTCTCTCTCCTGTCTCTTTGTGTCTCTGCCTTTCTGCCTTTCTCCGTCTGTGTCTGTCTCTCTGTCTGCCTGTCTGTCTCTGATCCTCTGTCTCTGTATCTTTGCCTCTGACTATCTCTTCTCCATCTCTCTCTCATAAGCAAACATGGGGACAATGAAATGTAACACCCCCCTCCTTAGTCACTCCTTGTCACTCTCTCTCACTCACACGGGTCTTGGTGACACCCTCAAACCCTCAGGTCACTCTTCCTACCACCTTCTGGCTGAACATAAGGGTGGTGTGTGAGTGTGTCCTGTTTGGGTCTGGCACTCAGACAGTTAAGGGGCTGGGGGGGGGAATAGGGGGCAGGTCCAATCCTCTCCTCCCCCATTCCTGGGAGGTCACAGGACTCAGGCAGGATTCAGCAGTTGCAGTGAGTTCCCCGGGGCCTCGCTTTTAGAGTTTGTGAGTTTAGGGGTGTTCTCAGGAGGTAGGGTGGAGTTCTTGAACTTGCTAGAGCTGGGTTGGTTGCTGACTGGATCCTTCAGGGGCCCAGACCTAGAAGACCACTTCTTGAGGATTCTGATGCCCTAAGCTGCTGACTCTGGTGGGGTGAGGGCCTGGGGGATGTTTGGGGGCACCAGTTGCCCCTAGAAAGTCCCAGTGGCTGTGGTGTAGCCCAGGTTACCTTGATGGAAGATCTCTGGGAGAAGGCACAGGGTGTGGGTGTGGGTTCCCTGCCTGGTAGAGTATCATAGGGCATTACTGGGTTCCCGGGCATGGGGGTCTCATATTCATCTTCCCAGGTGCAGAGATGCTTGCAGCATGAGGCGCAGCGGAACAGCGCTCTCCTTTCTGCTGAGTGAGGTGAGCAGTGGGGGGTGCTGTGGCTATGGCTGAAGTGGGAGATCTTGTCTTGGTTCAGACCATGGGGGAGGCGTTCCAGCACCGCCTTAAGCAAAAGCACCCAGAGCACCCTGAGGATCCACTTACATATAGGGAAACTGAGGCCCATAGAGTCCTCTAGAAATCTGGTGTAGATCTAAGGCTGCAGCCACTGAGTAGGGGACCAGGGTCTCAACTGCTTTATCCAGGCCCCAGCTGTCTATAGGACAAGAGGGGGAAGAAAAGCCCATTTTACAGATGAAAAAACCAAGGCACAAAAAAACTAGTCCTCCCTCAAGGTGAGTGGCTGAGGGCATTTGAACCTGGGCCTTTGTAGCCATGTTTGTGTCCTGAGCCCTGCACTCGAGTGGAGACCTCCTCTGCCCTGACGGCCTGGCATCGCCCCTGTCCTCCTCTCTAACAGTGTATGGGGAGACCGTGGGCAGGCAGCCCAGGGAACCCTGGGAACTGGCTCCCTCCTAAGCTGTACCTTCCTCCTCTGTAAAGTGAGTCCCCCCTTCTCATGGTTCTCCCACCAACATTCAGCTTATAATAGCAGTATTTGACTTACAGTGGCACTCAGGTAGTGTGGAAATGAAAGGACAGGGTTTGCCTTCCTGGGGCTCAGAAAGTTGAGGGGGGTAGATACTAAATCAAGAAAAAAAATTTAGGGCCTCCCCTGGTGGCGCAGTGGTTGAGTGCTGGGCTGCGAAGCTGCCCGCAGCCTCTGCAGCGCCGGTTTGATCCCCGGCCACTGGCAAGGGTCCCACATGGTGGGACAGACCTCTCCTGCCGCCCGCTGCTCCCCTCAGCAGTGTGTTCTATTCCCGGCTCTGGCTCTGGTGAATTCTCTCACCCTCCCGCGCTTCTGACTGTACCCAGTGCTTGTATAAATAAATAAATAAATAAATATTTAAAAAAAAGAAAAGGAAAAAAAATTAAACATGGGATGGGTGCTCACTTCCTGGGCAGGAAGTGCCTCTCTGAGGAGGTGGCATTGGAGCGGAATGAATGATCACAAGCAAGCCACCATGGAGGAAGCCACTTGGAGGAAGCCATTTGGAGGAAAGGCTGCCAGGCAAAGGGCACAGCTTGTGCAATGGTCCCGAGGCAGGTTAAAGGAGCTGCAAAGAGGCTGCTGGGACTGTAGCAGGGAACTGCAGGGGCTGGTGCAGGCTGATGGAGGGGAGGTGGGTGAGAATGGGAGGCAGCTTTGAACAGGGACCAGGACCTTGGGTGTTGTAGGTTTTGTTCCAGGGATGTGTTTCAGCAGAGATGCCTGGAGGACCCTCTCCTCTCCCAGGCAACTGAGAGTCACTCTCCCCTGTGCCCGTCACCCAACCCCGCTTCTGAAAATCAGGGTTTGCTGCAGCACCCCATAGGCCAGCCCATTGCTGGTGCTATTGACTGCTCTTACAGGGTCCGTCTTTGTTTTACCCCCAAGCCAGCTAGGCCTCCCCAAAACCCACACTGAAACACCGTGTTGCCTCTACCGACTCCTTCCTGGGGCTGGGAGGATACCCAAACTGAACCTTAATTCACCGAGAGCTTGGTCCTTTCTCCTAAATCTTCACCATCTTGATAGTGGCCTAATTACCAAGACAACTGTGTGACTTCTAATTATCTGGCAAGCGCTAGTTGTGCATTGTAACCACTAGTTACCCTTGAAACCCTCACAGCCATGGTTTCTCAGCTTCCAAAACATGGCCCAAATCCACACCCAGCCCCACCTTGGACCATGTTCCACCCAGATGCTGCCCCAGCTCAGGCATGCTCCCAATAGCCCCTGTTCCCTGAGGCGGCTTCTTGTAGGCATAGAGTAGATCCCACTGGTGGTAAACAAGACCTGATTGTGTGGCTGGCAACCCCTGATTGTGTGCCTACCAAATCCTCAACCTGCCCCCGACCTGTGTGGCTGGGTGCCACTCTGCTCCTCACTAACTCCCCGCCTGCACCCCACTCAGGCCTTCCCCAGCTTGTTCCCACCTCAAGATTTTTTTTTTAAAGATTTATTTATTTTTATACAAGAACTGGGGTACATGCCAGATGTGCGGGAGGGTGAGAGGATTCACCAGAGACAGAGCGGGGACCAGAACAGGCAGACAGACCAAAAGCACTGCTGAGGGGAGCAGTGGGCGAGACAGGAGAGGTCTGCTGCGCCATGTGGATTATCTCCATGGTCGGCGGGGATCAAACTGGCTCTGCAGAGGCTGCGGACAGCACAGCACTCAACCGCCTGTGCCACCAGGGAGGCCCCAAAACTTTTTTTTAAGATTTATTTATGCATACAAGAACTGGGGTGCAGGCCAGAGGTGCAGGGGGTGAGAGGATTCACCAGAGACAGAGTGGGGAACAGATCAGGTAGACCGACTGAAATACACTGCTGAGGGGAGCAGCAGGCGAGTCAGGAGAGGTCTGCTGCGCCATGTGGGTCAGCTCCTTGGCCGGGGATCAATCTCGTGCTGCAGTGGCTGTGGATAGCTTCACAGTGCTGTGCTTAAGCCCTTGCGCCACCAGGGAGGCCCCCACCTCAAAACTTTTGCATGTGCTTCTCCTTCTGCCTGATATGCTGTTTCTTTAGCTCTCTCCAGCCAGTTCCTTATCCTTGTGTCTCAGCACAAAGTCACCCCCCTTAGAAAGGTCCCTACTATCCTCAGCAACACAATGGCTGCTCCCATCACTTTCCAGGCTCTTCTGTGGTCTTATTTTCTTCCTAGCACGATGTGAACTATTGTTTTGTAGTTGTTGAATGAATAAATGAATGTGGTCTCCCATGTGGAACTTGGTTTCCCCATGCGCATACTTGGCAGGTGACATCTCAGTAGGCCTCCTATACTTGGAGGGACTACCTTCTTCCCGCACCCCAATCTCTGCATCCACTCAGCTGCCAGGAACCCTGCCTCTGGGGAGGCCTAATGTTGAGCACTTAGATGTTTGCTTTAGCATTCAGGTGCCCTTGGGAGAGAGGAGGGAGAGTCACTGCTCAAAAGAAGGAAAACCTTAGATGTCCTAAGTCCTAGAAGGATCGTGTCTGTGCAAATAGCAGAGTGGGGAGTGGGTGTGGTGGTGGTGGGGAGCCGACAAACCCCAATTGTGTGACTCTCAGCAGGCTATTTTCTCTCCCAGTTTTAACATCCTCCTCTGCGATGTAGGACCCAGCTCCCGAGGAAGCAAATGAGTTATACAGTGTGCCTGTCACACAGCAGAGGCTCAACTCAAGACTATGCTTTGTACCTTCCCTAGCCCCATCCCCTTGCCCTGGTACTGGCCCTGATGAGGCTTGTGGTCCTGAACCTGTTTCCACATCCTTATGTCTAGTCTGATGGAGGAGAATGTCTTGTTTGTGAAGCTTAGGGGCAGGGCAGAGGAAGATGGGGGTCTCTTCCATTTCCCCATTTGCTGCTTTGACCCCATGAGACACTCTCCCAAGTTCGTGCCACGCTCTGGGGTCAGTACCCCGGACAGTTCCCTTCACCAGCCTCTCCTTATCATCCACCCCCGAATAATCAGTACTTTCACCCCCATTTCACAGATGGGGAACTGCAGCACACTTGTCCTTGCCCTAGGCCACACGCATAGATAGAATCTAGATCTGTTGGGCTGGAGGCCTCACACTCCTGGCTCATCAATTTGACCCAATTCTGTTTGATTTTTCAATGTCTCAGAACATGCTGGTGAATATCATTTCATTTAATTTCTTATTCAGTCCTTCAAAAAATGATCTGAAGGTTAGAACCCAAAATTCCATCCCCACCATTTATTTACCAACTTTAAGCTTGGGAAAGTCACTTAACCTCTGAGCCCATTTTCTTGTTTGTAAAATGATGATAATGGCATTAAATCACTTCATTATGCCTTTATGAGCTGATGCAAGAGAGTTCCTTAGAACAGCTTTTACATGGGGAGAGTGTGCAAGAGATGTTCGCTGTTGGTACTGTCATTATTCACTGGTTTATTTACTGCAAATTAATTTCCATATTTTACTAAATACTATGCTAGGATTATAAGTACACCTAAGAGATAGTGCCATTATCCAAGTTGCTGCAAATGTAATGCTGATAGACTTGCTTGATGCAGAGTTGCACAAACCTTCAATTTGTAACAAGTGCAGCATCTGTGAACATTCAAGTGAGATATGCCTTATTATTTATTATAATAAATAGCAGGACCTATTTGAGCACATAATATGTTTTTTTTTAAGATTTATTTATTTATGCATACAAGAACTGGGGTACAGGCCAGAGATGCAGGGGGTAAGAGGACTCACCAGAGACAGAGTGGGGAACAGAACAGGCAGACTGACAAAATACACTGCTGAGGGGAGCAGCGGGAGAGACAGGAGAGGTCTGCTGTGCCATGTGGGTTTCTCTGTGGCCAGCCAGGGATTGAACTCATGTTGCAGAAGCTGCGGACAGCTTCATAGTGCAGTGCTTAACCCCTTGCGCCACCACGGAGATCCCAGAACACATAATATGTTATGAATATAAATATACTGTGTATTAATTGACTAATAAATATTTCTGTAATGCCTACATGGGTCAGGCACTGTTGATACCCTGCTAGATTGAAATTTACAACCCATCGCATAGATGAGGACACTGAGCCTCAGCAGGGCAAATCACCTGGGGGGAAGAGTTGGATTGGGAGATGGCCCCTTGGGCTGGCCAAGGTGCCCTTAGGTTGGAGACCGGCTCATGCCCTTTCACTGTCTCCTCAGAGGGCCCGGGAGTCAGCAGATTCTGGATCAGCTCCTGTGAGCCCCCTTAGTACTGGTGTTATCCGGAGACGCTTCTCAGGGACCCCATTGCTGCCACCACTGTCGAGCCGCCTTGGATCCCCTGGAGAGACTGACCCCAGCCCCCGTGTGGTGTTCACCATTGAGGCTCGAGGGACAGAGCAAAGCCATGGCCAGGCTCCAGGCAGGTAAGGAGGCAGACGAAGACTCAGGGGGCCATCTCAGCTGAGGGGGATCACCTCATCTAGCTGGGCCTTTCTTTAACTTGCTTGGAAACTTTCTTTCTTTCTTTCTTTCTTTCTTTCTTTCTTTCTTTCTTTCTTTCTTTCTTTCTTTCTTTCTTTCTTTCTTTCTTTCTTTCTTTCTTTCTTTTTCTTTCTTTCTTTCTTTCTTTCTTTTCTTTCTTTCTTTCTTTCTTTCTTTCTTTCTTCTCTTTCTTTCTCTCTTTCTCTCTTTCTCTCTTTCTCTCTTTCTCTCTTTCTCTCTTTCTTTCCTTCTTTCCTTCTTTCTTTTTTGTTGCTCTTCTTATTGGATTTTATTTATTTATTTTATTATTTTTCATTTTATATGTTTTTACATCATTTTTCATTTTTGCACAATGTATGCATTTTCATCTTGGTTATAGTCCCCGTACAATTCCCACCACCCTTGTTTTGATCCTACTCCCTTTTCTCCCCCTTGAAGTGTTTCCCTGGTTTACAGTTGCTTGTTGATTTTGATTTTTACTTTATTATAATTAGTCTTTTTCCTGGTCCCTTATTTAAGTTTTCTAGATTCCTGCTATGAGTGAGACCATCCGGTATTTTTCTTTTTCTTTCTGGCTTATTTCACTGAGCATGATCCCTTCCAGCGCCATCCATGTTGCTGCAAATTGCATGTGTTTATCTTTTTTGAATGCTGAGTAATATTCCATGGTGTATATGTACCACATCTTCTTGATCCAGTCATCTATTTTTGGGCATTTGGGCTGTTTCCAAAGCTTAGCTATTGTAAACAGTGCTGCTATAAACATAGGGGTGCAGGTGTTCTTTAAAATTGATGTTTCTGTGTCCTTTGGGTAAATACCTAGGAGTGGAATTGCTGGATCATATGGAAGCTCCATCTTTAGCAGGCTGAGGAATCTCCACACAGCTTTCCATAGTGGTTGGACCAGTTTGCACTCCCACCAGCAGTGCAGGAGAGTTCCTTTTTCTTGGAAAGCATTTCTTAGGCACTGTGTGCTGGGCCCAGTACTGGGGTCAGTCATGGGAAAGTAATTGGCTTATGGGATGATGGTGGAGACTAGTAGCAGCTGGAGACAGCAGAGTGATCTGTGTTGTGATGGGGAGAGGTAAGGGTGCCAGGTGAGTCAAGAAGAGGCACAGGGATGCACAAGAAGTGGCATCTAAGTCTAACCTGAAGGATAAAGAAAAGTCAATGGGCAAGTTCTGGGAAGGTATGCCAAAGAGAAGGAACAGAATGTGCAAAGCCTCAGGAGGACCAGGTGTATCAGGAGCTGAACACACCTCAGTGTGGCTGGAGGGTGGAAAGGAAATCTGAGGAGGTGGGCAGGGACTAGACTACCCAGGACCTATGGGGTGCAATGGGGTAGCCATGGGTGGGTTTTTAAGAAAATGAGGTGATCAGGTAAACATCAATACCCAGTGATTGCTGTGAAAGAACTGCCAAGGGCAAGGGAGGAGATAGCAGGAGACCAACAAGGAGACTTGGGCAGTTCCTGGCAAGAGATAGAAATGACTGGATCAGTGTAGAAGCCATGGGCTGGAGAGAAATAAGCACATTGAGAAATTATTTAAGAAGTATGGCCTCCCTGGTGGCGCAGCAGTTGAGCGCTGGGTTGCGAAGCTGCCCGCAGCCTTTGTGGCGCCGGTTCGATCCCCGGCAGCATCCTGGCCACCGAGGAGGGTCCCACATGGCGCACAGACCTCTCCTGCCATCCGCTGCTCCCCTCAGCAGTGTACTTCGGTCCTTCTGCCTGCTCTGCTCCCCGCTCTGGCTCTGGTGAATTCTCTCACTCTCCCACGCTTCTGACTGTACCCAGTGCTTGTATAAATAAATAAATAAATAAATAAATAAATAAATAAATAAAACATGCCTCTATTAAAAAAAATAAAATAAAATAAGAAAAAAAAGAAAAAAAAAAGAAGTAGACACACCAGGCATTGGTGGGTCCCAGCAAGGATTATGAGAGAGGGGCGTAGATGTGGCTGACCCTTGGCCTTTGACACTTTAGGTGTTACATATCCTTTTCATCAATGATGCCAAGAGGTGGTGACACCATGATTATTCCCATTTTCCAGAAGACAGACTAAGGAAGGGGAAGTGGCAGAGCCTGCAGGTGGCAGAACTCACCTTCTTCACCACTGGGGAATTTGTTGTTCTTTTTTTTTTTTTAAAGGTAGACTTTTCTCCACATATTTTTTTTTTTTTTAAGATTTATTTATTTATTTATACACGCACTGGGTACAGTCAGAAGCGCAGGAGGGTGAGAGGATTCACCAGAGTCAGAGCAGAGAGCAGAGCAGGCAGGCTGACGAAATACACTGCTGAGGGGAGCAGCGGGCGGCAGGAGAGGTCTGCGCACCATGTGGGACCCTCGCCCAGCATCCGGGGATTGAACCAGCGCTGCAGAGGCTGCGGGCAGCTTCACAACCCAGCGTTCAACCACTGCACTATCAGGGAGGCCCTCCACTGGGGAATTTGATCTCTTACTGTCAGCTCTGGCAGACAGGGGACTGAGAGGAAGGGCAGGTACCAAACCATACAATGAAGGACAGAGGAGGGTCATTTGTTTGGCATCAGACAGAAAGATTGGGTGAGACTGTGGCTGACTCAGTCGGTCTACCACCTGTTCCAAACATTTCCCCACCTGAGCACACAGCTTGGATAGAGAAGAGAAGTGTCCATGGGAAATACCTCTCTTAAAGATTTCTGATGCCCCCAACAATATCAGAACTCCTTCTGCCACCAAGTCTGCTGCACCAAGTGGCCTCAGCCCACACCTATCTGCTGAGCCCTGCTGTTGTCCAAATCTACTTCTGTTAACCGCAAGTGAAAATGTCCCCACCCTTCCCAGGAAATTAGCCCTGAGTTTAAGATGTCTGGTGATCTGGGTCTTGAGTTTCTAGAGGAGGGAAGGGCAGTTCTGGGATTTGAGGGCAGTAATTGTGACTGTGAGGTGGGGCCATGGACATCACAGGAAGAATGAGTACTGCCACTTCCACCGACAAAGTGGACAATGGTGTGACTGTAAGAGGTTGCTTCTCTTCCCACACCCACTGTTGGCAACTCTTACCACAGGCAGCTTCTGTGTGCCCAGCCTGGGCACGGGAGGGCCATGCCACAGCCAACCCCATTTCCTTGTCCTTCCTGGATCCCTACCCTGCATCTGCCGTGTGTGTGTTCAGATCCCATCTGGAACTGAACCACTAAGCCTATCTTTCTGAGCTTGCGAGAGACACTGGGCCTACCTCTGAAGACCAGAACCCTGGATTCTACTTGAGACTGCTCCTTGCTGGCGTTTGTGGGAGTGTTGAGGACCCGCCGTTGTTCAGCTTTCAGCACCTCCAGGGTGGACGGTGCCCTGGCTTGGAGGTGCTCCCATCCCCCATATCCCCAGCTCTGCCTTCAGCACCAACAAGTCGAGGAGAGCTCCTCGCCGTCTCATCCATTCAAGACTCCTGAATCTACCTTCTTCCCTTTTAGCACTAGGGGAAAGAGACGGCGCTTTGGGGCCCGGGAGTGGGGTGTGTGTGAGGAGGGCGGGGGTGGTCTCCTGAGGCCGTCTCCCGGTTCTCCATCTGGCAGAGGGGAGGGCAATTTCTGTCTTCTCCACTTCAAGCACAAGTCTTGACCCTCTTTCGTCCGGCACAGAGGGGACAGCAGATCCTTCTCAGCGCTGGAAGTCTCCCCACCCCTGTCTTCAAGCCCGACCTTCAAGTTTTTCTTGCCCGGCTATCCTTCAGCATCAACTGGGCACGAACAGCTTCTTGGTATCAGCCCCCACCTTGAGCCCCGCGTTTCCACCGTCTCCTGCCTCAGACCTCCGCTGAGGACAGCTCGCTGTCCCCTCCACCCCACGGCCCTGGCCCCACCTGGGCACAGACACTCCTTGCTCCGGTATCGGGGTGAGGGGGGGTGTCAGCTACCGCGCTCAGCTTTCCTCACTCCCCCGGCGCATGGAGACCACGAGGGGCCAAGAAGGGGAAGTACGCAGCGAGCTGAGGGGCGCTCGCAGCGGCCAAGGCATCACCGGACCCCCGAAACACCTGTGGCGACAGCCACGGCGCCCTATCCGCATCCAGCAGCGCTTTCACTCGGACCCGGCGAAGTCCGTGGGCCTCAGCCACTCTGGCCCAGGCGGGACCTCGCGGCCCGAGCTTAAGAAATCGCGGTGCTCCTGGCCCTTCTTCCAAAAGCGGTAGGTGGGCGGGGGCAGGGCCCGTGCGCGGCCTCCGGGAGCTGCGCGAGGGCGCGGCGCGGGGTGCGGGAGGGTCGTTGCTCTGCAGGGGGCGGGGATCTCTGTGTCCTGATTGAGACCCGCGCCTTGGCGGAAAGAGGTGCTTTTATGTGGGGTAGAGCGGGGTGGCAATGGTGTTAAGATCGTTTGTGGGTCTGTGTGATCGCATGTGTGTGTGTGTGTTTGTGTGTATGTGACTGAGCAGTGTGTGCTCTGACCTGCTGTGTGAGTGTGCACGGCCGGCTGGCTCTGCAGTCACTGGATGTGTTGGGATGTGCGCCCGATTACCCACAGGCTATTGTGTGGGGTATGTCTCCCTGTGGTGACTGTAGGTATGTAATTGGGAGTGACTTTCCTCTCTCTGATCCAGTGGGGTCTCCAGGATCCTCGGGACCCTGAACTGTTCAAGGGTGTTTGTGGGATCCCTGGTAACTGCAAACCTCTGAGGAGCTCTGGGGATGGGTGTGAGAGGTTCAGGGTGGGTTACCCCAGCGCTGAGGGGAAGAGCTTCCTCTGTGGCTTGCCCAGCTACACTCACCCCCTCCATCCACCCTCTTGACTCCTTTCGGAGAGGGGGGGCCTTGGGGAGCCTGAGCACAGGATGTTTCTTGCGCATAAGAAAGGATGGGGTGTGGAGGCAAAAGGCAGGGGAGGGGATCTCCTGTGTCTTATAAACTAGGTGGTTGGGGATGGGCGCAGAGGGTTAGGAAGACAGGGGAGTAAGACAGA